GATAATCAGCTCTTATATTTACAAGGTTTGAAGGACAGTGGTGTTGCATTGACAGATGGTATTAGGTTCCTAAAACACCAATCGGGGGGGTCCCCTTTAGTTGGTTTCACCAGTAGAGATGCTTATAATTCAATGGCTGCGGATACTGTCAAGCGATTGGATGGAACGGATTCTAACTCTTTAATTGAAATTTTTAGGAGGAGGCAGTCTACCGAGACTGATTTTTTCTTTGATTTTGAACTTGACTTGGATGCAAGGTTGTGCAGTTTTTTTTGGAGGGATGGTCAAATGAGACGAGATTACGAGGTGTTTGGGGACTTGTTAGTGCATGATACGACATATCGCACAAACAAATACGATATGATTTGTGCCCCTTTCGTAGGGATGAATCACCATTGCATGAATGTAATGTTTGGATGCGGGTTTTTGATGAACGAGAGGATAGAATCGTTTGTGTGGTTGTTTAAAGTGTTTTCAAGATCAATGGGTGGCAAGTCTCCACAGACTATTATGACAGATCAATGTGCAGCTATGGCTGCTGCTATATCTAAAGTGTTTCCAGCATCACGTCATCGTCTTTGCATATGGCATATCGGTGAGAATTCAAAGAAGCATATCAAGACGTTAAGGAGCAATAAGGATTTCTTGGATATGTTTAACTACGTGTTGAAATACACAGAGACCGAAGCTGAATTTCAATTCTATTGGACAAGGTATGTTAGTAATTAATCGTTTTTATTGCATTACGTTTGTAATTATGGATGTATAGTGCATCAATTATGGATATATAGTATTTCGATTATGGATATATAGCAGTGGTGGTGTCTGGAAATGTAGTATATGGATTATGGATATATAGTATTCCGATTATGGATATATAGTATACCGATTATGGATATATAGCAGTTGAACTTACTGGTGGTGTCTGGAAATGTAGTAGTATGGATTATGGATATATAGTCTATCAATTATGGACATATAGTATTCCAATTATGTATATAGAGCAATAGAAATTCTGAGTATGTGTTAGATGTGGTGATGCTGCTTGTTAATATTCTGCTTCATAATCATTTGGGATTTTGTCTTACCATTTTCAGGTTGGTGACTGACTATAAATGTCACAAGAATACTTGGTTAGAAAAGCTATATGACTGTAGGGAGAAGTGGTGTCCAGCATTTAACAAGGACTATTTTTCTGGGGGCATTCTATCATCACAAAGGAGTGAAACTACAAATCATTCGATTTCTAGAAGGTTGTCCAAGACAGCGGGTCTTTGTGATTTCTATTCATCGTTTGTAAGCGTAATTTCTGAATGGAGAAGTAAAGAGAACGGTGAAGACTTTCGGTGTGCTCAAGGGGTACCCGCTATGATGATGGAGCATGTGAAACTTCTTTCACATGCTAGAGAGGTATACACAATTGAGATATATTTTCTGTTTGAGGAACAATTCATGAAAGGCAGTGCGTGTCATCAAGAGATGGTGTTGAATGATGGCCGTCAACAGAAGTATCACGTGTGGCGGCCAGATATAGATATTATAAGGCATGAGGTTAGTTTTAACGCAGCCAACTTGGACATTTCTTGTAGTTGCAAGTTGATGTCTGAGTTGGGAATTCTATGTTGTCATTGTATACGCATTCTTCACGTACATTGTGTTTCTAGTATTCCCGACAAATATATACTTAAAAGATGGACTAAAAAGGTTATTGATGGTAGGAATGTCAACATTGATTCTATGGTTTATAATGTTGGTGTTCCTCCATCAATTTGGGTGTTCGATATTAGTAGAAAATTTCAAAGATTAGTTGTGTCTAGTCAAGATAGCAGCGTAGCGAGGAAACTGTGTGACGAGGCTGTTGATGATGTAAAGAAAAAGGTTGAAGCCGAGGTTGGGCATGTGCATATTGAAGAGTGTGGTGTTTCATCTTCAAGTGGTGGTGTTCAAAATCCTTCAAGTCAGAGATTGAAAGGTGAGCGTAACAAAAGGAGGAGTGGTGTTATTGAAAAGAAGTACAGTCTTGCAAGGGGGAGAAGGAGTGCTGCAAATAAAGCTGCATTGAGTACAAAGGGTGCTGTTCAGTCTTTAGTGTTGGAAAACATATCCAAGCTTGCTGGGGATGGATACCTTGTACATCCAAGTTCTTCAAGTTCAGATTTTGTTCAGTTTAGTAAGGGTTTAGATGACAATGTAGGTGTAGATTGAGAAATACAAGTTGTTATCATTGATTTTATGCAATTATACAGTTTTAGTTTTGTAATTCTGGATATGTAGTTTTGCAATTTTGGAACTGTAGTTATGAAATTATGGAATTATAGTTATACAATTATGGAATTGTAGTCATGCAATTATGAAAGGTATGCAATTATGAAATTATAGTCATTCAATTATGAAAATATAGTTATGCATTTATGCATGTGTAGTCCCCATTGTGATGGAATTTGTAGTTATGAAATTGTGGTGTATAGTTATGCAAGTATGGATGTATAGTTTTGCAATTATGGTATTATTGTTACGCAATTATGGAACTATAGTTATGCAATTGTGGAATTGTTTATATACAATTATGGAATTATAATTATGAAATTATGGAATTATAGTTATGCAATTATGGAACTATAGTTTTGCAATTCTGGATTTATAGTAGTCATGCAATTATAGATTTGATACATGAAAACAAAAACAAAAAAAAAAAAAAGTAAAGAAAAGAAAAGAAGAGAAAAGAGAAAGAGGTGCATAGATCAGATGTAAATTGTTATTTAGCTATTAACATCATGCATCTACATTCACAAAATACAAGTCACATTGTCAATGTAGTTCACAAAAACTTTCTAATTGTTTAGAATTCAGTCAACATGTTGAAGAATATTCATTCAATTCTTCTTCGAAACTCTTTTGGCCGCTTGCAGAACCTCCCCCCTGACTTCATTCATTCTCCACTTTATGAGGTTCGCAGCATATTTCGCTCGCAATTCACACATGAAGCTTGCCTATAAACAAAGAACATTAAGTAATTAGTCATTCGCAGTTTTATTTATTTTTTAATGTATTTTGAAACTATAATATGTATGGTAGTCTTACATTCAAGCGCATATTTTTCTTGAATCCTGGCTGCCAGTCTTGTAGAGTCCCTCGGAATGTCTCCATATGACGGAGTACATAGATCCCGCAATCAGTGACGTTTTCAGTGTTTGCCCAGTCCAACTTAAGGTACTTTATATCAACTTTTTGCAATTTCACATACAAGGAGTGGCACTCGGCCTTAAGGTAACCACTGAATGCTTCAATCTGGTCAGAAAAGTTAGTTTAGTGTTGATAATGCTTTTATGTCAATAGATAGGTAATGGTAAGAATGTCAAGTTTTTTTTTATCAAAATTACCAATAAGTGTGGGCAGTTGCCATATTTGTCCTTCTCCGAAACACCAGCTGGTAACTCCTTGTTGTCAATGACCTGTACTTTATGTTCTTTCATATTGAAGCAGACCAAGAAGTAGTGACCATGGCGATGAACTGCGAAAAATATCTAATTCCAATTCAAAGTTAAAGCAATGTTAGTATTTTTTTGGACATGATAAAGTCAAATTGGACATGGGTAATAGAACTTACCAGATCTGCATCACTGATGTCTAGGTTCCCGAAGCTGGTTATTTCATAGCTCAATCTCTCATTGAAATTCTTCATTTTTATGTGAGTTGGGAGATCCTTCATCCACTGATCATTGGGATCAATTTGAAGCTGCACATACAAATGCAGGAATGAGTAGTCATAATCCAAATAATATTTGTTGAAAATGTTAAAGTTATACATACAGAGTTATATATATATACATTTCCAGAATTGTACAACTATAGTTCCATAATTGGATAACTATAATTCCATAATTTCATATCAATAATTCCATAATTGCATATAACCAATTCCATAATTGCATAAGTATAGTTCTATAATTGCATAACTATAATTCCAGAATTACAAAATTATAAAACCAGGGGTTCACAGGTACACATCCAGAACTGAATAACTACATATCCATAATCTAAAAACTATATATTCATAATTTGTGAACACTTACATGTACTAGGGTGGAGAAGTAGACCCGCTTTGTCTCCCCAACCGCACGGGGCATGTTCAGCAATGTAAAACGTAGGGACCAGACATCTAGGAAGCTGCTCAGTAGCTCACCGTTGCACATAGTTGCAAAATCATCCCTTGTGAAGTAGTAATCACCATATTTGAACAATGTCTCTCTACAATACAGTAAATAAATAAATATAAGAACATAAATTAATGAATAAAATTTAAGTAAAATTGGTGGATGGAAACATACCCTCCCGGGTGCTCACTTGAGGCTTCCAAAAATGCGTAGTTTGAAAAAACCTTTTCTTTGGGAGTTGCATTATTGATGGAGCCTTTGTTCTTATTCCAATATGGTGACCTCAAATGAAGCGGGATGTTCCTGAATTTGCGCACAGGTCTCTTTCTCACAGTAACATCCTCAACATCAGATTCACTTTCATCCATAGCCCTGTTGTCCAGAAAAAAACAGAGGCAGTTCATAACCCCACAAGTATAATTCCAGAATTGTATAACTACATTTCTATAATCTATAAACTATATGTCCATAATTTGAGAAATACATATCCATAATTGTAAAGAAATCAACGTCACTAGTTGAATAAGAATATATTCATATTAATCAAACTTAATATTCATAATTATTGATGAATTGAAAACCATATTTATAGTCTAAATCTGCATAAGAAAGCAGTAACCTACTTATCAAATTCATCAATCTCAGCAGCAGTTTGGGCAGCAGGGGTAGTAGGAGTGGTGGACTTTTCGAATGGCACTCTGATTAGTAATGGAGTTGCTTCCTTCTCTGTTGAGGTTGATACTCCTGCACTCCTCACAATGTTATCCACCAAGGTGTCCAAAGGCTGCTGTTGAGATGGTGGTGGGGTTGGTGTAGAGCGTCCAAGTAGCTCAAATGATGGGACTTCTATTTCCATTTTCTTTCTTGTTTTTTCAAAAGCTGCTACCAGAGAATCAACTGCTGATGTGAAGCTCTCACTTCCGAAGAAGATGTCATCCAATTGCGAGGCAGTTGGGCTAGGAGTCGGTTGAATTGTGCTTGCAGCACTCAGCATTGTTGATATTCCTGAAAAAGCCCTCTTCATGATTTCAACCGGGGCCCCTTGCTTGCCAATGTCAGACATGACCTGACCGAACTCAAGGACATCTGCTGTAAGCCGTTGAAGCACATTTGTTACTCGGTCAACATTTGTCAGAGGCACAGATGGAGCTGGAATAGTTGGTGTAGCAGTAGGGCTGGACACTGGCCTTGGTATTGCAGTAGGAGGAGGTGCAGGTCGGGGTGATGATGTAGATGCAATGGCAGTAGGTCTCTGAAATCGAGGGATAACTTTGCCCTTACCAAAACCCCCTGATTTTATCTCAGCCGATACTCGCTTGCGTACAAGGCTTTTTGTCCAAGCTTTTATTGCTGGGAATGTGCGGTTGACGGTCATGCCTCTGAACTGTACTCGGTCAAAGTAGAAGAGCTTCAAGAAGTACAGAAGAGTATGTTAAGGAATTGAATAACTACATATTCAGAATTGCATATCTATAATTCCATAATTGCATAACTATAATTCCATAATTATAAAACTAGATATCCAGAATTACATATCTATAATTCCATAATTGCATAACTATAATTCCATAATTGGATGACTATAATTCCATAATCCATAAACTACACATCTATAATTGATTAACTATAATTCCATAATTGTAAAACTATTATTCCATAATTGGAAAACCACAATTCCACAATTACAAAACTACACATCCATAAGGGCATAACCACACATACAGAATTGCATATCTATGATTCCATAATTGCATGAATATAATTACATAATTAGAACATTTTATGTATAATGGGATATTACCAGGATGAATACCATTGGACCTCCAAAGGATCTGGTAGGAGAGTCTTTGTAAATGTCATACGAATCAATTAAAGAATTGTACGTGTACTTGCACCAATTAAGTCTTGAGATTGACCGGATGTTGAGCAATGACTTGATAACTCGATAGTTGGCATATCTTCCAGTATTTCCCCGGAGCAGAGATGAGACAGCAAACACCACAAAGTCTCTCTTGAAGGCATCTCCATGGTCACCTCTCCTGATTATTTCATCAGGCATCTTTGTTGTTATGGGTGACCCTGACCTGACATTCCATCTTTTCCTCCACTCAGTCAGGACCTTATTATATGCAGCTGTAGAATTTTCCTCACTCTTTGTACCTTCCTCAACATCTCTCTTCCCCCGGGGGAGTCCCAAGATGTATTCAACATCCTCTTCACCGACATGTAGATGGTCACCATCCAATATGAAGTCTGATTTGAAAACATCAAACCTTTGCAGGAGATACTCAACAAGTTGTGAGTAATTGCTTGAAAATTGTAGGTGCAGCAGCCCTCCAAAACCCATATCAATCACAGCATCCTTTTGGTCATGTGTTAGACGCTGGACAAGGTCATACATTTGCTTGGGACCCATTCGTGTACTGAAGTAGTTCACATCAGGGTCCCGTACTCTCTCTCGCTTTTGTGGTGGTGCCCTCTTTCTTTTTACAGCTGCTGGTTGTTGCCTTGTCGAAGGCTCTGCTTGATCTTCCTGGGCAGGGGTGAGTTCAGCAGCTTGTGAGCTCAATACTGCTCTGGTTGTTCTCTTTTTTACAGACTTCACAAATTGACCAAGTGTAGAATCATCTGCCACACCTGACTGATCCATTTCTGCAAATAAAAAACATCAAGTGAGGTTAACAGAGTACTATATCCAAAACTTCATAACTACAATTCCATAAACACACAACTATACTTCCAGAATTGTAAAACTACAATTCCATAATCTCATAAGTATACCACAAGGCAAGTTATGCTAAAAAGGATTTGAATGCAATTTGGTGCACAGAGTAAGGTTCACAGAGTAATACATCCAAAACTGTATAACTATAATTCCATAAACGCACAATTATACTTCCAAAATTGTACAATTACAATTCCATAAGCATACCTACAAGGCAAATTATGCTAAAAAGGCATTGATGCAGTTTGGTGCACAGAGTAAGGTTCACAGAGTACTACATCCAAAACTCTATAACTACAATTCCATAAACGCACAACTATATTTCCAAAATTGTAAAACTACAATTCCATAAGTATACGCACAAAGCAAATTATGTTAAGAAGGCATGAATGCAGTTTGGTGCACAGAGTAAGGTTAACAGAGTACTACACCCAAAACTGTATGTCTACAATTCCATAAATGTACAACTATACTTCCAAAATTGTAAAACTACAGTTCCATAAACTTATAAATATACTCATAAACCCATAATCATAACCATGCACGTTAATAATCAAATAACTATACATTCATACAAGATTAAACAGTATAAAACCCTAGTTTAAAATTTCATAAATATATACTCAAAATGAATGCTTGTTTTGTGTAAATGCATTATGTATCAACGTAAAATGCATTTATACCTGTTATAGGATGATGATGAGCTCTGGTTTACAGAGAAAATGCTGTTGAATTCGCGATGATCGGACGCCGGCGACAATAGCGACGACGAGTGTGTTTGAAAGCTAGAAAATTCTAAAGAAATGGTAAGGAAATGGAGATGATTGAAGCGTTTACGGAGGGTATCGTGTTGGAGAAGGAATGGAGTGCGGGAAGTGAAATGCAGTGGAGAAGAAACGAAGGAGCATTGTTTTATTTTAAAATATATATATATATATATATCTGATTGGTGGAGTGAAACGGTGCCACTAACGGCACCGTTACTCCCTAAACGACGCCGTGTGGATCCGGATGCACCAAGTACGGTGCAACCGGATGCACAGCATAACGATTGCCTTTTGGTGGAGTCAACGGGCTAACTTAGCAGACTAAGCCCATTTTGACAACTCTAACCCAAAGATAACACACATTCTCTTATCAGTACTCCCTAATGCTATCCTTATCACTGCAAATCCCTTTCACTTTCTAAAATGAGTCACACTTTCACATCATCACATTTGCAAATTCTCCACTATTTATTCTACATCATTGCAAATCTCTCTCACTTTTTTAAAATGAGCCCCACTTTAATATTATATTATAATTATAAATTATAAATATAATAATAATAATAATAATAATAATAATAATAATAATAATAATAATAATAATACTAATAAATAAATAAAAAGTACAATTATTACAAGAGTAAATACCCAAAATGGTCCCTCGACTATAGCTAAATTCACAAATTGGTCATCAACTTTCAATTTCAACCAATTAAGTCCTTAACTTTGTAATTTTGACACGATTTGGTCCTCCATCTATTTGACCGTTTGTTGACCGTGATTGACGATCTCCAGAAGAACCTTCAGCTCTCGTCGGAGCACGTGGAGGCCTCCGAGATGATGTTGCACTGGTTCGGAAACACGTCGTCTTCTTCGCTTTGGTACGAACTCAACTATATTGAATCCAAAGGGAGGATGAAGAAAGGCGACCGGATTTGGTAGATTGCTTTCCGCAGTGGATTCAAATGTAACAGTGCGGTCTGGAAATGCAACCAGAACCTTAAAAACCCGATGATGGACCATAAAATTACATATATATCCTCAAAAATCGCAGTCAACAAACGGTCAAATAGATAGATGACCAAATTGTGTTAAAATTACAAAGTTAAGGACTTAATTGGTTGAAATTGAAAGTCAAATACCAATTTGTGAATTTAGCTATAGTCGAAGGACCATTTTGGGTATTTACTCTTATTACAATTAGCTCACTAAACTTAAAAAGTGTATAATCGAAGTATCGAACCATCAAACAATCAAAATATGTACAATTAAGACATTTTTGTAATTTCATTTAATGCAATTTGAATTGAAATTATTTCAATCTTTTCTCTTATGGCATAGTAAATAACAACTCTTAATACATACTATGTAAGTCATATGGGCATATGGGCAGTAACATTCAAAAAAAAAATGTAAGTCATATGGGCATATGGCCTGATTCTATCTACAAATATTGAACAAATATCTCAATTGTAGATATTTTACTTGTTTAATAGCTTAATTAATTAATTATACACTTTTAAGTTTAGTGACCCAATTATACAAAAGTAATAAATAAAAAATTGAGCACTGATTGTTTGAGAATATGGTTTCCACCATGTATATAAAGTACAACGTCATCCATTATAGAGCAGAAACAGATGAGAATGCCCTTCAATTAATCCCTAACCGGTAATACATACATACATACTTCCATGTACTGAATGACTCATCTTCAAATCAAACATCTTATATACAACCTTTGGGCGTCGGCTAATAATGTTATTGTTGTATCAATTGAGGTATGAGTTTAAGCAAAAATGTCAACTCCCTCTGTGAGAATTTGGGCTTTTGAACTGCCTCCCCTTTCATTAATTCTTCTTCTTCCTCCTCCTTCGATGGCTTCAACATCTCCCAAACAGCCCCTCCTATTTCCTCAACAAAATCCACAATCACTCCATCAATGCCCATCATGTGCTGCATATACACCGCTTCCACCACATTGCTGAAACAAACACAGATCCAATTAGACCACCGAATTCAAAAAAAAAAAAAATACATAAACTATACAGCAGACCAAAGATCTTGCAGTCAAACAGCATAACTGTGACTCTCAAATGAAAGGTCATAAGTTTAAACCCTAAGGGTGACATTGACTCGTTATGCTAATCAGTCAGGGTAGCAATACAACTGGACTCAAACTTTTGGCCACTGAGCTATGTCCGGGCCCGGGAGCTATAGGGGTTTAGTATATATATATATATATATATATATATATATATATATATATATATATATATAGTTGTACTCACTTGAGCTTGCCATATGTGAGGAGTGAGAGATCAGACTCCTTGATCTTGTTAACCGCCGCCGGGTTTCTAAATATGGCTTTTACTTCAGAAACAATCCCTTCCAGGCCACCTTCCAAACACACTTTCATGGCCGCCTCCAAGGAGTTCCTCCTAGGATCATCGTACACCTCGGTGCCCCCGTTGGTGAGGAAAAAGACTGGATAAACACTCTGAAGTTTCTTGACAAGCAGGGCCGCGTCGGGGTGGAAAGACGAAAAGATGATAGGCCGATCCTTGGCATGAGCAATCACAACCTCCAACACGTCGCGAAGAACACGGACGAGGTGGTCTTGTTGGTAAACTACGTAATCGTCGAACTTGAGCTCAATGTTGAAGCCCAGAACACAGTTCACTCCCTCGAAGGCTTCTTGGAGAGTGCATAACGCGTCGTCGGTTTCGACCGCCCACATGTAAACACCGCCGCCGTCTTTGGTTTTCCTAAGAAGTGGTTTCCCTGTCTTGTCGGTTCCCTTTTGAGGGCCGTAGCTGAGGAATTCTCCCAGGCTCAAATCCGTTACCCTCTTCTCAACTGTAACGCCCTGAAGTTATAAAACACCAAATTCTTCAGTCCCAAAGTTTATTTCCTCTCACAATCTCTAATAATTATGTCACTTTTCCGGGAACAAAAATAAGGGAAAAAGCTTACATTTTGCTGGGAAAGTATGAAGTCATCGTGGAAAATGACAGGGCAGCCGTCTTTTGTCACCTACAAAAACAGACAATTTATAGTCTTTGAAGAAAAAGACGAAATCAGGAACTTAATCAATATAACCCCACCATTTTGGATTTTCTGAATAATATATATATATATTATATTTAAGGCTTTAATTAAGTCCTGTAGACTAGGACTCAAAAAAAAAAAAAGTCCTGTAGACTAAATTTATTAAGATCCTTAGTAACATAGTTAGTTGTTTATTTACTTATTTTATCATTATTATCGGTTTGAAGTTAAACAATTAATATGAATGTTTGATTAATTAGTTTTTTTGTTATGACAACTTATTAATTCCAAATGTTAAAATTTAAAAAATTGCTCAGGACAATTTGGTCGATCAACTTTGAAAAGTTATTTGTATGTAATGATATCTATCAGCTAAGAACTAATTTACCAAAACATTACGTTTTCAACTAGTTACTGATTCAATCAACTAACATCTATTAATCAAACATGGTTTAAAATTGTTAGCTAATCAGACAAATGAGACTCTATGCCTGGAGATCAACTATAGCTGGAGATCTCAACCTCAATCACTACCGGGAAGAAACAACCAACAACACAAAATTAAATAACTAAAAATGAACCAAAAAACTGCAAAAGTGGAAGCATGAAAGATATGATGAGAGAGAGAGGGAGAGTACCTGAACATCAAACTCTATGAAATCCACGGGGTATTTGGCGGCAGCATTGAAAGAAACAATGGAGTTCTCCTTGACAGCCGTCAATCTCCGATCCGACGACTGCAAAACATTCATCCCGCTCCCTCTGTGCCCGACCACCAGAAACTTGGGCGGCTTGTACGCCACTTTCCCCACCATTTCAACGCCTGATCCAGAAGAAAAAGCAACAAATTGTATCGATCAATACAAAAACACATTGCATATGAAAACGACGTCGGAAGTAGAGAGACAGCCGGACTTACTTTGTGAGAAGGCGGCGGCGGAATAGAGAGGCGAGGAGGAGGCATTAGGAACGTCGGAGACATGAACCGCCTTGAGCGCCATGCTTCTTCTACAACAACTCACAGAGGTTTAATAATAATATAATTACAATGCAGAATTGCAGAGAGAGAGAGAGATTTGAGAAATAGAATTGGGAATGGGAATGGGA